CCCTCCAGTCATCTTAGGCATGAGCAAAGTTGGTCTTTGAAGGACTGTAGTCATACCAGCTCGTCAATCACCTCACAGGAATAGACTACACAGAATTATTTTTACTCAACACGGCACAACAGTATACTAGGACGTCCCGACCTCATACTACTCTACTACTGCTGCTACTACTATACAGCATGCATAACAGGGAAATAACACTCACCAGAGTTTGTTGTACGCATCCAGGCACTCTGGCTTGACATTATGGACTGGGGGAAAAAAAGAGAGTCACACTTAAAAAACTAAGCTCAGCGTTACTTTAGGACAAATGGTTTATGATTATGGTCAACTTACACTGAATTTTGTAGAGATTACTCTCCTCATTTTTGGTCAGTAGGTTGGAGTGTGCATCTTTCCTGGGATCAACTTTCCTCACAAACAGCGACTTAAACCAGCTGTCCTCTCTGTTTCTGCTGCTCGATGTTGCAAACGCCCTGCAAACACACATAGTTCATGATGAGAGATTTTCAGTATTTTATGACAAGTATGAATCTATGGCAAGACTGACTTCCTAATCTCCTTTCTTGATACCTACTTAGATTTACACTCACATGGACATATTATCTCTATATGAGCCGATATACTTCATTCATAGCAAACTTAATCCACATAAAGATAAATAAACACTTCATTTCAGATTTACAGCTGTTGTTGTGAAGTTACATTTTTAAAATACTTGTGCCACAGTCATAATACAGGCTGTGTCAGTACCACAGCTGCATATAGTAAGCACACTGTGATAATAATGTATGTGTTGCATTACAGTACTGCAGGGCACAGCAGTTAACTCAACCATCAGAAATACCTGCTGTCTGTAAGACAAACGCCAATAAATCACATTTTACAATAAAGCACCAAATTGACCTTGAACATTTGAGATGCTCAACAACAAAAGATGACAGAAACTTGTATTCTTTCACCTTCACCAGCAAACACACGCAGCTTTAACGTTAAATATCCCGCAATAAACTATTTTAAAGGTGTAAGCTTTCATGTAAGTTCAAGCTGAAGGCCACTGAGGAGGCTAGCACTTAACGGGGCTAGCTTACCCAAAGCTCATCGTCGCCACTACGGAAATACACTGAAATACACCACACAACAGCAAACTACACAACTACAAACACGAGTACTGAACAAGCAGGCTGATGACTGCCCTACCTGCTCCAAACGACGAGCTGTCCAGCGGACTGGGCCCTGCTTGTAGCCCGACCCAGGCCACCGCTGACTCTGTGAAGGACTCCAGTCGCCATCTTCCACGGTGCAAATGCAAACAGAGCAAACGCTGTTACCACGTCTGACCACCAGGGGGCAGAACTCACATCTACAGGCCAGGACACAGTCACACATATAGACCACAGATCAAGAACACACACACACACACACACACACACACACACACACACACACACACACACACAGAAGAACACGGGGGTATAACAAGGAAGGAAATAGTGTTCAGGGGCATTTATTTATCTTTATTTATCTTTATACAACACAAGGTTGTGTGTAATGAAATAAGAGTTCATGCTACATGCCACATAGAGAATATATGATGGTTAAATTCATAGAGTAGCGTTGGAAATAAATAAAATAAACCCATATATACATTTATTTATATACATATTTTTTGGATATGATAAGAGAAATTAAAAAATAAATAAATTAATAGAATAAATATGTAAATTAAAGTTACTCAAAGCACTTTGGAGGCCATCAGGCATCAGACTCCACAGCACCTCTGCTGATTAAGACTGTTTTAACTTAACCTGCTTTGCACATCTCTTGCACAAACTCTAACTAGTAACAATTTGCACATATACAGTTTAGTTTTATAGTCTACGGTAATTATAGTTTTTATATTTTCTATTATATCTTTATAATATTTTTTACCAAGTATTCTTTATTGTAATCTTTACACTACATTTCTTCCTATGCTGCTGTGTCAAATTTGAATTTTTTCCACAGGCATCAATAAAGGAACATCTTATCTTAGAGATAAACAAGGGAAGAAAGGTTGACCAGAGAGATATGTACTTCTAACAGGACTTTTTTAAAGCAGACATAAGTGGCCCAAATCTGATTTTCTTTGCTCATATGTGACTCAGATCTGTTTTTTTTTTTTTTTTTATGTAATCTGATTTTTTCAGTTCTGATTTTGGGCACTTTCATATGTGGTTCACATTAGATACAGTTCTGATTGGTTGCAATCGGACCTCAGTGTGAACAGTCACACTATCTTGGTCGTCATTCGTCATGCGGATCACTTCATGTCTGTGACCTGCTCACACTGGAATCTGATATGAGCCAAATTTAAAAAATAAATGTCAACATATCTGAGCAATAGACCCTTTTCACTGTGGCCATTTTGGCATGAAATATTAGTATAAAATAGTAGAGTAAACATGCACAATAGCAGCACCCTGACTCTGTTTGACCTGAATGTAACAAAGCCATTGTTAATGTATTAGTAACACCTGTGTTTACTCTACTATCTGATGTCAAAATGACTGCTGTGAAAAAGGCCTATAAATCAGAACTGAGCACTGAGACTTGCAGCATGAACTTAGTATTTGACTTGTTATTGCAGGAAAAGCACAGGTGTTACTAATAATATTAACAATGGCTCCGTTCTGTTCAAGTGTCCCAGTGAGCCGTAACAGCGTGACAGTAAGTGAGTGCATTTACACATGTAATAGTATCCTGATTATAATTGGGGGTTTTTGGAGTATCCTGGTTATGTTTTGCATATGTGAACATCATCTATCATCATCTACAGGGACATCGTAACTGATCATCCTAGACAGACACAACAAAACTTAAAGCCCAAATTCAGACAAATATGTCATGTATATATTTCAGTTTTCAGTATGGTGAAGTGTCCACTTCCAGAAGAAAGACTAAATGGATTGAAGTGTGGGTTTGTTTAGAGCTCATTAGAAGAAAATCCACTATGTACTGTACATTGAGTCTCTGTATGTTGACAGTTTCATGAATAACTCTTCATTAGACCCAGTTTTTTTTCAATAAACTCAGTTTTTACAGTTGCTGCATTGTTTTCTGCCATCACACGAGTGCTAAGAGTCTTCTTTGTTCTACTTCATACAGCTGCTGCTATTGATCTTTTTTTCACAGCAGACATTTTTACGTGCCATGGTAGTGACAGGGGAAACACAGGTTTAATTAATAAAAATAACGATGGCTCTGTTTTATTTAGGTTATTCATAAAAACCCTCCCAAAGAGCCAACATGCATAAATAACAGAGCCCTGAAGCTATAACACCTGACTGAATGCAGCCTTTATTGAAAATATTAATTACACCTGCTATGACATGTCATGTGGCGATAAAGGCCCATTGTTTCTTGTAGTGGATCCCAAACATTGTTGTCTCTCAGCATAACGTCTGCATCATATCCAACAGTAAAATTATCCTAAAGTGGCATCACTAGAAAACAGTCAGGGTCAGATATGGAGGCCCTGAAGATGAAGATGAAGATGAGTGGGACTTTCTCCCTTTAGTAGGCCTTAATACAAAATATAATATACTTTAATATAACTGTCTCAGCAGTATGAAACACAACATCATTAAGAAATTGAGCATTAGAGACAATAACAAGATACAAAAGTAACATAACCTATAAATGTGAATGACATCAAATATAAAAAACAAGAGTCAGCGATTTACAAACTTATAATAATATCAGTAAAGATAAAAGTGAAAACAAAATAAAATGTTCTGTAATAAATTATAACTTTTGCAACTTGTACATGGTGGTCAAACGTACTACACTGGTTAAACAGGTGGGGGAGCTACAGTTCAATCCATAGCCTATCAACAGATACTGCACTACTAAGACCCTTTTGCAGTTAGAGAAACAATATGGACATCATCAAACTCAACACAGGGCACTGTATTGCACAAACCTGACTATAACCCTACAAAGGTCACCTTAACAACAGATAATACTGATATTTTATTTATAAATATATATTTTGGGGGCTTTTTGCCTTTATTGCACAGCTGAAGATGGACAGGAAAGAGAAAGAGAGAGAGAAAACAAAGGACCACAGGACAGATTCAAACCCACGGCTGCTGCAGCAACAACTCAGGCTTGGTACATGGTGGCGCCAGCTCCAGGTGAGCTACCTGGGCGCCTCAATGAAATGGTTTTTAAGTGGTAAGCAGCAGCCTCAAACGATATCCCCAAACAACAGCTTTAGCCAGTCTTTGACATGCAGTTCATGGCCATGCATTGTGCTGGTTGGTGAAAGTAGGCGTTGGTCTAGTTTATAACTTTATTGCAGATTGAAATGTATTTGCAAAACCTTTCAGACATTTCATGTTATAAAAACTCACACAAGGCACTAAACTTTACTTCACTTGAAGACAAAAGGCTACCACCACATTGGGTTTAGCAGGTGTCATGGATGTGACTTCTGTAATACTGGTATGTATAGCTCTTTAAGATGAGGTGAGATTCTTGTGGGGACACTGGATCCTTATATTCTTAAATACTGATATGCTGTAAGTAATGGATAAAATTATTCTTTTGTTGTAAGGTCTTCAGGAAGAGCATGTCAGAGCTGTAGGATCCAGTTGCTCATGGATCACTGATGGATGATGGAGAGGGCGATGAGGTTGCAACCATGGAGGAATTCAGAACCACTCGAGATTGATTTATTATTTGACAGAGTGATTATGAAGCTAACGGGGACCATATTGCTAAAGCCCACTTGGCTTTAGGAGAAAGAGTACTTACCACCAGTGGAATTCAGAAACTATGGAGGGATTTGTTTTAAGTTCAAAGACATGAATCATAAGGGAGTGCTTTCTCCGTGAAACATTTTTGAATAACAAAAGGCAAAATGTGGATATGTCTGGGAATTCAGGGAACGATTGAATCCACTGAAATTTATCAAGTCAGTTGATTATGAGGAGGAAACATTTACTTAATTTTCGAATCATTACATGGAATGTAATTTGTAATTTTCGAACACAACTTTAATAAACATCCAACATTTTAATCCTTTTCCTGTTTTATACGACTGTAGTTAATTAAAAGGACGCCTCTCCGGCAGTCGTGAACATCAGTATAAATGTAAGATCCAGTAGTGCTTGGAAGTCAGTACGGTACAGTTCCCGTAATGTCAGTATTAATCTGAATAGCGTGATCTGTATTCTTAATGAACTTTGTTGGATGTGGAATACTTTCACAAAGGGCACATTTTATTAATGGAAGAAGTGAGATCAGCTTTTTACAAAGAACTCCAGTTTCACTGCTCCAGCTGTACATATAGTGAACCTCATTACTGGTATAGTAAAAGGTATTTTTTGGGGGGTCTTATCACAATGTTGAGTGAACTCTTGTACCTGTGTTTTTTACGCCAGATGCAGAAGATCTTCCAGTTCTGGCTGAAGTTAGTTGTGTTTGACAGAGTAGATCTGGTACTTTGACTTATCTTTTAAAGGCCGCCTCAGATCCTCATTCAGAAGAAGCTAGTGTGTCATAATTTGTCATCTGCCATCTCCATCAGTGGACAACCTGCCTGAGAGGCCACAGGGATCACTTCTAGAGCTCATCTTTCTCTCCACTTACCATTAATACCTGCTAATGTCCTTAATAGCTTCTCCAACAGCATGCACACCTCATACACTCATCTGGCAGTTTATTAGGGAACATCTAGCTAAACATCATAACAACCCTGCACTAAATCCTACCTTCATGAAGGTTATAATATACATACCGGGCAAATATCTGTATATTGTGAGTTGTTTTCATAACATTATACAGCTAAATTAAACCTTATTGACTAGATTGTTACAGAGCTTTCATCAATGGATGGAGGTCAGTTGTCATGGAGATCTGTTGTTCAGTAGCTGTTATGATTTCAAATGAAGTTTTGGACTTCTTGTCTGTGTTGGCTTAATAGTGAAACATGACAGTACACTGTTGACCTTGGAAATAGTACTTTGATAAAAACAATCCCAACTCAAGGTCCACTTGCTAGCTATTTACGAGGCTTTTAATCATATCACATATCACCGGAAACAAACCTCAGTGTGTATGATTTGATTTGGTTAATAGGTTTGGAGAAAGCTTGTACGTGAACACTGAGTCCAGAGTGAAAGTTCTTGTTTCAAATCTTAAATCGTCTGTGTTTTTGATCCCATTGACCTTTGCACAAGAATGAAGATAAGAGTGATTTTACCATCAAGCCCTTAGAAACACCCTGCCTGGAAGTTAGGGAGGCAGACAGGAAATGTCTTATAACTTATCTGCTATAAATCCTGTATTATTTATTATAATTAT